CCTGGCAGTAGCTGAACGACAGGCTGCGTCGGTGCATTTTGCGACTCTCCGACAGCAGCTGGCCCAGCCGCGCCCGGCTCTGCGTGTCGAAACTCTGCTCCATTGCAGCTCGTCGCTCCTCCGCCGTCATCGTGGTCGTCGTGGTGGTCGGGGTTGTGGTGGTTGAGGTCGTGGTCGCTGCCGCCGACATGGTGTGCCTTTCTTCTTCCTCAAGCTTGGTGTGGTCTAGGTCGGCAAATGGTGTCTGGTCTGCGTTGGCGTTGGGCGACTGCGTGTAAGCCCGTATTTCCAGGTGGTGGGCAGTATTAGCCGTCGGTCGCGTTGCTACTGCGCGCTGTTGGTTGGCGTGACGAGACACGGGGACCTTGCTCTACTCTCTTCCTTCTCGTCTCTTCTCGAATGTGTTGACAACAACTAACAAACTAGTCAGTTCCTTCTTCCTTCACTTCACCTCCGTCGTGACTTGCTTCGGGGACTTCGTTCTCGTGTGTTTGCCGCTGGGTTGGCAGCGGCGTTGCGCGCCCAAGAAGCCGCGAGGCAGAGATTCCAGGTATTTGAGGAATGCAGTGTAATACGCACCCGTGCCTGACACGAATGATTGCATCACCAAACATGCTGACGAATTTCTGGCGTGTGGCGCCTGGTGAGTGGCTGTGTGACCACTTCACTCCTGCTCCTTCTTTGAACGTTCAACTCAGTTTCTGGTTCGCCTGGCGCAAGAGAACAAAGAGCCAAGCACAAGCAACGACACCCTTTGTTGTGGTTCTCTTGTCTACCTTTTGTGATCACAAGGGGCTGGTGTCGGTTCGGGCCACACGCGCAGCTCAGGAAGAGAGGCCCTTGAGCTGGGCGGCAAGGTCGTCCAGATCGAGGGCGTCGTCGGTCTGCACGATGTCGCCGGCCTTCACGTCCAGCTTGGCCGCATCAAACGATCGCACGAGGCCGTCGGGCAGCGCCTCCTGGGCCTTGGCGACGGGCACTTGCACCTCCTCCTCCTCATCGTCATCCACCACCGTGATGCCCCACTGAAGTGAGGTGGCACACGGGATCGCATCAAATCTTGATCCAGAGTGTTGAGCGAGAGTGAGCAGTGGAGTACCTCGTTGGTTTCGTGCTTGGGCTTGGCGGGCTCCTCCTGCTTCTTCTGCTCGACCTTGGGCGCAGCGGCGAGCTTGGCCTTGTACTCCTCCTGGCGCTTGACGCAGTCCTTGTTATCGCACTCGGCGTTGGGCTTCATGGCGTAGCGGGGG